ATAATTAATGTTATTTTAACAGGGAATAGATCTGATAATTGTAAGTGGATATTTTAGTGGAAATCCAGACAGGTACATAAATGAAAATTCGCTTAGTCTACAGATTTACTGCGGTAGGGGTGTTTACCAAATAACACTTAAATATTTTGAGGGACCAAATTGGGTATATTTATTTCATCCTGTTTAAACAATAACCACAGGTGTTCTAATATTAGTATTACTATTATTCCAATAACTGAACAAATTGTATTTGTATTTGCCAATGTCTTTAGAGTTCTTATTTTATTAATGCTCATTTTATACTAACTTACTAGGCTAGTTTGATATTCGATTTTTGTGTGTGGATATTCACTAAAACTCGTTATTTTTAAATTAGTTTGAACCATCCTAAGTTATACTTTTACCCGTTTATGCGTTTTCTACTTGAGAGTGCACATGACTTATTAATTTAAACTCTATAGAACACACTGCAAAAGTTATTGTATCCTTCTTTGGAAATAAAAGTGTAAAATTTTCTTGTTAGGTTTTAAACCTAAACAACCCTATAGCTTAGATCCTTAAACTTTAAACTGGTTAATTCAATTAATTTTGTTCTTGATTTTGTTTTCCTTCATTGATTATGTAGGCCTATTTAAATAAATTGCAATAGAAACAATATTGCAATAGAAACAATATAATTAAGGGAAATATTAGGTAAAATAGATGTTGTAGCTCTATGTGATTAGATTTAAATTTATGTATTTCTGGAACCTAATTCAAATTGTCCTTACTTTTTAAGCTCAAATGAGCAAGACTTATTTATATCTAAACTTCACCGGCCTTATAAAATCACTTTCAAAAATTACAAAAATTGTGATGGAACATTTTGAAGATAAAATGTAAAAATTTACATCATACAACAGATGCTTGACTATGCTACCAATATGAAGCAGTTATGTTTAGGAGAGCCCTGATATGTAGTGTAAGTTTTTTTCAAAGCCTAAATAGTAGAATAAAATCTAAATAAAATAATTTGTTCTTACGCTTACCTATATTCTAGTTGATAACAGAGGATATAAAAGATTGTATGACTATTAGTATCACCGATCGTCGGTTCTGCCCCAAGCCTTTTAATGTTGCCATGTTAAGCTAATGAAAACTATTTTACTAAGGGTGAAATCCTTCTGTAGAAACAGTATAAAATAAACAATAAATTTGTAACAGAATACACGAGAAATGTGTATGGCTAATGTTTGAGACATTTATGAATAAATAGTAGGTTTCCCCTCACTTATCAACAGTTCAACAGATTGCATCAGCATAACAAGTTTATGGACTCAGATGGGGATAAAAATAGTTCATATGTAATAACTAACTTAACTTAACTTTTGCGTAAATAAATATGATTCCCAACTACGCAAAAATGTTCATTGTCACCAATTATTTAGAAATCTAGTTATTTAGTTTTCACAATAATACAACTACTTTAATAATACTACTTTGATAACACTTTGTGTCGTGTGTTGGTGTTCCAATTAGGAAAACAAAATGCTTCGATGACTACTCTTAATCTCATCTAAGCATATTATAAGCAATGTCATAGTACCTTAATTTTTAATTAATGTGCACAAATTCATACACATCTACATTTTCGCTTGCGTATTGCAGTTATTTAACCAGTTGCGATTGTAACATCGACAAATTGTGTCTTAAAAAACAAATTTAAATTAACCGTGCCAAGGCAACAATTAAGAGGTACATAGAAGCCCTAATGATGATGTTTTTTATATTATAAATTACAATGCACTCGCAATAAAGACTAGGTGGTCTGGATGGATTAAATGTGCACACAATTGCAATTGCAAGACTATTGTGAGAGCGAGCCGAGGGAAAGCTTCGTGTGTCGTTAAAGAGAGTCGTAAAAGGGTTTGTTTTCATGTTATTAAAACAACAATAAGTCGAAAGGTAACATTATTACTTTTACGATGATTCTGTAATTGTTGCGAATGTTCTGGGAAAGGAGTGTATAATTAGTTGTGTAGACCAATGGGGAGTCGCTGTGCGTGGAGGAGCTCTCTCATTGGTCGAGCCGTCACAACGGCCATTGGCGGTGGAACTGGTTGTTGCAGGGAGGTACTGCCATAAATCTTTATGACTGCTATAAACTCGCCGCAGATAGCTAACCTGTGATTATCAGTTGTTTCTAATCAATTACTTCCATTGCACACCTCACTCCACTCTCCTACCTGCAAACTACAAACTCAGCTCTCGTGCTATAAATATTCATTAACATTACGTTATACTTTCTGGCATGGGATAATTATTAGCTTTTGATTACAAGGTATCTGCTTAAAAAATAGTTACGAGTATATTTCATAATTAATTCAAGTTTACTTTAGCGGATGTTTACTCGCCTACACTGTAATATTTCGAAGATGCAACTCCCGTGTCAACAGGGAGGTTTGAGCAACTAACTTTTTATTTCTCTTACTCTAAAGATCTTAAATTTCGGTCACTCTAAAATATCATCGAGGTCAATATGTAAAGAAATCACAGATTTTAATGTGCACTATTGCTAATGACTTCAACAAAAGTAAAATAAGAATGCAATTGCATTTAACAAATTAAGAAATAAAAGGTTTGGATTATATTTTTGAAGTATGACGTTAACAATTTGATTTTATTCGTTCGCCTTTTACACTTTCAAAACTTACGAGAATCTGGTAATCAAACCAAATAAAATCTTACTCCCTTAGATGGGAGTGGGCAGTATGATACCAAATTCACTACGAGCATAAGACACGAACCACGAAAAAATAACATATTAATAAAGTAAATTACTAATTGTAGGATATCACTGTATATTAGTATGTTTTGTAGGCTTAGCGAGTTTATAGCGGCAGGGTGAGATAGGCAATCTAGACACAGCAATCATATTGCCTACCTGACACTGAAGGCACGGACCTGTGTACTACTCGGACAGGGTCCATCGTGGCAACACTGCACTGGATCCCTGAGCGGGCGATGGCGTCTGCACCCCTTGCAGATCATCCTGTTTTATGTTGATTGATATAAATAATATGCGTAACAATGTGGTTGAGCATTATGAATATTCCAACTACAAAAAAAATCACCTTCAAAAAAGCTTTTCGATTTTTTTTCTAGCGTTTGCAGTTTTTGAGAAAAAGTTAACTTATAATTTAACTTATTAACTTACTAAATTAACAATAACTTTTTGGGTTAAGTAAAAATTCTGAAACTATACAAATTAATTCATTATATATATGTCTTTATCGTATTAACGTTTGATGAAGTTCTGACGTTTAGTTTACATTGTGCGAATGTTTAAAGTCTTAAGATGGTTTTTGATACCCAAAAAACAGGGGTTTTTCACCTTCCAACTGGCATAAAAAAAATTATAAGCTAGCTATTTTGTTTTTGTTCTTACAGGAATACTTAGAATAAAACAAAGGAATTTAAGATATAATTCGTGTTTTTCTAAGTAGTTTGGTAATTTTTTCTGTAGAGCTCCAAACTGTCTAAACTTTTTCCCCCGACACTTTGTAGTATTTTATTACTAGTGATATATTATGAGAACCGGAACATAAAATTATCACAACGGTTTACTCGGGACATCAAGAAGTACATTTTGGCAAAAACGCCGAAAATATTTGAAAACTGCTTCATTGGTTCTTGGTGTTTGATACTCAATCGGTTACCATATACTCATATGATACACTATTGGAATTATCTGTTTCTATTCCATATTAGTTTTATATATACACTGTATATTTAGAGAATGTATATGTATTTTTTTTATTTTTTATTGAGAACTATTAACTAATTCAGATTTATTTATTCATTTATTTATTTATTAGATTTATTTATACACGGTAACACCATTTATACAATAGAAGTTAGCATAAGCACTTACACGATGGCATAATTTACAACGACACTACATTACTAATGCAATTAATAATTCTCGAACTGCTAGTGCTAAATACTAGTTTATTACGGATAATAATTATTTATAGTAAAAATATGAATAATGATGTTTTTATTTACTAATTTTATCCTTCAAATGTGATACAAATTGAAAACTAAGAGCCAAGATTACGCCAGAGAAATCTATATACGACCACCACATTTTATAGGTGGGAAGTACTTTAAAGTTATATCGTTTATCCATGTTTTAATTTTATTTATGAGTATATGAAACTCCAAGTTTAAAAATAAGTACTTATAACAATCCTAAAAAATGTGTATTTAGATGGAAATTATTCTACGGCTGCCGCGATTTTGGATCGGGCTTCATAGTAGAGCCTAGTAAATGGTACTCAAGTTACTGTTTTGTGGTTGCAACTGCAGAGATGTGGGATTCCTGCAGCTGTTAGACTGGTGCAGTTTGCATGTACCACACCTCTTCTGCACATCACCCTGTCAGAAGTCACTCCCAGTGCGCCTGCAGCCTTCGAATACTCTAGTATAATAGTACTCAAGCTACTGTTGTTTTGTTCCAACTGCAGAAATGTGGGAATCTATCCTGCAGCTGCTAGACTGGTGCAGATTGCCTCTCCACACCACACCTCTTCTGCACATCATCTTGTCAGAAGTCACTCCCAGTGCACCTGCAGTCTTCGAATACTCTAGGATAATAGTACTCAAGCTACTGTTATTTTGTTCCAACTGCAGAAATGTGGGAATCTATCCTGCAGCTGCTAGACTGGTGCAGATTGCCTCTCCACACCACACCTCTTCTGCACATCATCTTGTCAGAAGTCACTCCCAGTGCGCCTGCAGTCTTCGAATACTCTAGGATAATAGTACTCAAGCTACTGTTATTTTGTCCCAACTGCAGAAATGTGGGAATCTATCCTGCAGCTGCTAGACTGGTGCAGATTGCCTCTCCACACCACACCTCTTCTGCACATTACCCTGTCAGAAGTCACTCCCAGTGCGCCTGCAGCCTTCGAATACTCTAGGATAATAGTACTCAAGCTACTGTTATTTTGTTCCAGCTGCAGAAATGTGGGAATCTATCCTGCAGCTGCTAGACTGGTGCAGATTGCCTCTCCACACCACACCTCTTCTGCACATCATCTTGTCAGAAGTCACTCCCAGTGCGCCTGCAGCCTTCGAATACTCTAGTATAATAGTACTCAAGCTACTGTTTTTTTGTTCCAACTGCAGAAATGTGGGAATCTATCCTGCAGCTGCTAGACTGGTGCAGATTGCCTCTCCACACCACACCTCTTCTGCACATCATCTTGTCAGAAGTCACTCCCAGTGCACCTGCAGTCTTCGAATACTCTAGGATAATAGTACTCAAGCTACTGTTATTTTGTTCCAGCTGCAGAAATGTGGGAATCTATCCTGCAGCTGCTAGACTGGTGCAGATTGCCTCTCCACACCACACCTCTTCTGCACATCATCTTGTCAGAAGTCACTCCCAGTGCACCTGCAGTCTTCGAATACTCTAGGATAATAGTACTCAAGCTACTGTTATTTTGTTCCAGCTGCAGAAATGTGGGAATCTATCCTGCAGCTGCTAGACTGGTGCAGATTGCCTCTCCACACCACACCTCTTCTGCACATCATCTTGTCAGAAGTCACTCCCAGTGCAACTGCAGTCTTCGAGCGCTTTAAAGAAGGTTTGTGTTACTATATTACTCTTATTATCACAAACTTCGTTTTAATTGTTTTCATATACAAAATCTACTGACTATAATTTTATTGCATTCTATAACTCCTAATGATGAAATAAAACTCCGTTTTAAGTCCATCGCAGTAAGAATAACCTTCAGTATTTCATTTCTTTTTGGCAAATATTCTGCAACTTAAAGCCATGTAGACTACAATTATTGATTGTAATTAAGCACCCTTTTGATTCAGATGAACATCGTTTATAGACTTTGTATGGTAAATATGATATTTTAATGTGTACACTATTTCTGAAAACGCTTTTTTTGTTCTAGGAATTTCATTTCGACGCTTCAAAAGCTCAAATTCTTTTAAGAGCTATTTTATCAATATTTATCTGAGGATCTTATCCTATTACGATAAAATAAAATCTTATATTCTTTTACAAAAAATCGGAACCTTTGTTGTATTTACTTTTATGACATACTACGTAATTATAAGACATATATTATAAAAAACCTGAAGTTTTTATGTAAATGTCACTTTGTATATTCACAAAACTAAATATAAATTATTTTGCAATAATTACAATAAAGTGTCATGAAGATCCTGATCAAAATTAACTCGTATGCAAGAAAGAAGAAATATAAATGAACCAGCATTACTATTGTGAAAAAGTGTACTGTGATGAGTTCATGTTTTGTATATTTAAAAAAACAATACAGATCCTCAGATTCAAGAAATACCAAGAAGAGCCAAGATAAGAAAATATGAAAATTATGTTCTACAGTCAACATCAACGCAAATCCTGAAAAACACATCAAACTACCAAGCCTAAGAAGATTTGTAGCTTCATTCATAAAAAATCAACTCTAACGAACTAAATTAGTATTTTTATTTGTTCAAAGTAAAGTAGTTTAATTTTCGTTTGACAAAATGCCACGTGGCACGTAATAATTTTTATTTGCATGATCAGGACTATGAAAAGTCAACCTATTAAACGAAAATGTATATTTTATAACCATCCAACTCTGACATGAACAACTTTAAGCAAGAGACGAAGCAACCAAAATAAGATCTTCAACCATGCATTGACACTAATTTACCAGTTAAACAGTTAAACGTGAGATTACGGTGTTTATAACGTTTGCACTAACATTCCATTGTGTAAATTGACGTCATACAATTAAAGTTCAAAGTTCAAGTTCAAGTTGCAAAATATTTCCTTGAATTATGGAGTTTTAAAATCTTAGTTACACTATGTTAAAGAAACGTTCACAATTTTTTACCATTGTTTGTCATCGATTGATCATTAAATCTCTATGAAGGGTTGATTCAAGGACCAAAGAAATATTACCATCAACACAATTAATTTAATAATTTCATGCTTAATATAATACAATTAATTTGTGAAAAAAATAATTTATTGACGTTTATTTTACACGAACTTAATTATTACTGTGATGAAACATTAAACACTGGTCAATATGCAAAACAATACAAGGAAATCGTGGTTTCTTTAAGAAGACTGCAACAAAACGGAAAGAAGAGAGAAGAAGACTGAAACAAATCGGAAAGAAGAGAGAAGAAGACTGCAACAAAACGGAAAGAAGAGAGAAGAAGACACACAAAAGTTGGACGTTTGTTTCTGCGAAATATTATCAATTGCATTAAAACTGAATTTTAGTTAATAATACTCATAATTAGATAAATATTTCTATTACAGTATCGAAACTTAACATTTGAGCCAAACGATAAGTAGTTTGAAAATCGGTATGCTTTTACTCCGAAATTTCCTAATATCGCAATAGATTTGTATTTCCTGATAAGTAATCTGGCCACTAATGTAAAACGTAAAAAAGTTATGCTCTTAATTTAAATTATATTTACGAGGGAATTTCGGTTCTCTACGAAGACTTCCATGAAAAAAATCATAGCATCCAAGAAACATCGAGAGGATTCAGGAATCAATTAAGAAAGAAAAATCGTAAAATCTGCTGTGGATTACACTCAAACAAAAATGCTGTAAGTTTAAAGTTGAATGACAAGTAAATATTGTTTTTAAATCGGTTTTATTCTATTCCAAGATAAAAGTTTTATTTCATTCAAAGATTTTATCCAAAAAGTGTTTTGAAAATTGCATAGCTCTTCAGTAGCAAAGTGGTCTGGCTACTCATGTAGGAAGTTACTATTTTGATTCAATTTTCCACGAAGACTTTAATCGTGAAAGAAACCAGCATAAAATTAAAAGACATCATAAAGACTCATGATTCAAGTAATGAAGAAACTCATAAAAAACTCTACTAGCTATCGCCTCTTCTCTTCTAGACTTCTACTTCTCTTCTTGATATTTTAACGCACTTTTACCGTTCCGTGACTCACTTTTTGATGCCCATCAGCATTTTTATGTTGCGATGTTAAATAAATTAGCTACATGTTCCACTAACATAAAAGTAATAACACAATTGAACATTTTGCTTCTGGAATTTGGTTGAGTTCTGTTTGAATAGCTTTTTACCAACGTTAAGGAATAATGATGATGAACTTTTTCCAAACTCAATGAGAAGGAGGTTCCATTTGGACTACAAGATTCAGTAACACACCAAGAAATAACAAAACATTTTTCTAACATTCATATCATCGTTTTTAACCAAGAGCAATGAGTAAATAAACTCAAAAACTGATTATAAACTAAAACCAATGTACAGTTTCAGTTATTTAAAACAATAGTGTATATGTAGTTTTCATAAACCTAATCTATTTCCCTAGAATTTGCCTTACACTAAAGCTAATTCTACATCTTTGAAAAATATAGTTAAAGAAAGTGATGCAACCCGTCTGTTTAGTGTACCGATAGTGAATCAATCGCACCTGGGGTGCATATCACGTAAGAAAATTTCCACTATAAATCGTCCAGATCTTTATATCGAGGTCATAAACAGCTCAGTAAATGTCGCCTGCACAATAAAATGGCTAAAGAGTAAACAGAACCGATGTTGGATGCAGGCCTATAAACCGCTATACACGGCGAGTATTAAACTTTAACGAGCGACGCGCAGTAAGTGCATCTGCACACTGCAGTCTACCTACAGTGAACAACTCATGACTACAGTCACTGAAGATGGAACATCAACTCTTAGGTCTACTTACTGTCGGAAACTATACACGGATCGCGGATGAATGTACGCAGTTTGATGACACGATCATGAACACAAGATGCAATGACTTTTCTTTCTCTTGGTAGTCGTTAAAAGATTGTGTTGATCATTGGTGTTATACTTCTATTGCGCTAAATTAGGTGGTTTAAAGAAATTTCTTGGAGAAAATAAGAAAACACTGTTGTATCATTTTTCACAATATACTTGCCTGATTAAAGGCTGTGTAAAAATAGTGTGGCAGAACAACAAGTTCTGTCTTTTGTTACCGGGGCCTAAATGTTCTGTATTATGTCGATACCTTTACTATCCTGAAGACATGTACATAAAGACGTAGCGACCAGCATCACGCGCAATTGTTTAGTGGTACCAAGTAAACATATTTGCTAGAGTTTAACTGAATCCACCCAGTAAACTTAGCCAAATGTGTATTTAGGATATAAATGTCTATAGTCTAGCCAACAGTATTTTAAATATGGATGTTTAAAGTCAAATGCCTCATTTCTCGTACTCAAGTGATAAAAGTGGACAAAATAAAATTGATGTGGACGTTTGAATGAGAAAACAGAATAAAGAGAAACAATAGATTGCAATGATGGCCATCTGCGAGCGCAGCAGTCAACGTGCAGCAGTGCTGCAGTCGACGTTGATGGGCTGCAATAAACCATAAAATAGGTTTACGGCGAGCCCGAGCATTACAATGCGCCTACGAAATGCAACCGTGATATACCAGGACTTTAATGTCGACCGTATAGCGCTTGATTTACGGCATGAACAGTGTCGCCGTGTACTCGGAGTTTAATTAAAATATTAAACAACGAGTGGATGGGTCATCACAGCCGTTGTAGTGGCAAGGTGGTAGTTACTAAACTAGACTGTGACACTGACACATTCTACAAAATATAAAGCATATGTCGATCATGACCTGGCAAGACCAAACTTTGACATTGGTTGTAAACACTTGGCTGCAGACACAGGAATAGTCTGTCAAGAACACATTCTATACGAATTCTACGAAATATAAAGCAGATATCACGTCAATAGTACTTGGCAAGGCTACAGACATAGACAAATTTATATACAAAAAGACACCTTCCACAAGTAAGAAACTTATACAACCAGTGCAGACACATGCATGGTTGGTCAAGAACAGTTATACACTTTCTGCAGATAAGGAGCTGCTGTTATAATACAACTATGGCCTCGGGTCGGACTTTGGATGGCAAAGTTTTTACAATAGACACAGGAATAGTCTGACAAGAACGTCTTTAAACTTTCTACATTAGAAGAAACCCCTGCATCGATTCCACCTTAATCTCGGTAAGACCAGATGGTGACATAAAGGTTAAGTATTGTTGTAACATTTGGATTGAGCTAGTTTTATAAATAAAATTAGATACGCATCTCTTGTTTAGAAAAAGATATTTTCTCTCATAACTCTTGAGAGTTTTCAGTGTCAATTATTCTAATTTTCATCATTACTTATTATCGATTGTAAATAAACCGCTTTACTAGTGATCTTATTCCCTGTCCACGTCAGCCTTTAACTAAATCAGGCATTTTTAGCTTTGATAGGAACATTAATTTCATATACTGTATCACTAAAATTATCTTCTGTTGTCATTTGTTACCAAACTAACACAAGTATACTTACATATAGTAGGTATCAATGCACTAAATTAAGATATACATTTTATAAGCTCGTTTTGGTGCATAGAAGGTTGGTGTAGCCATTGTAACATGTGGTTTGAATTCTAAAAAAACTCCACGGTCTTTTAGAACATAGCCTAGTATGTCAAATTCAACAATCAAATCACCTATGTTTTAACGGTGCTCATACTATAATAGGCTACGCA